GCAGCTAGAGCTGACTGATTCCTTTATTCTAAATTTAAAATCATTTAAAGAGATAAGAGTTTTGAGTTTGAACTCGACCTGCAGGTCATTCCAGGACCAGGGCCACAGTAGAACAGACTTGTTTCACCAGCCTGTGTGCACTTTAAACTGAAGCCATGTGTGTGACCTCAGATTATAGCTGCTTTGCAAAGATAAAAACATCTGGCTTAGGCACGTTGGACATTTACCTGAGATGATCTTATAAAGACTGTACTGATGTACCAGTGTTGTAACATAGGCAAAGTGAGGACGGCCATCCTACCATGCTGTACAAGGTTTAATGATGGGTCCTGAAACTAGGTTTAGTCATATACCTCAGGGCTGAGAGATAGAGGGTCAAACTTGGATAAGGTGGACTGTGAGGCAAACCTGTAAACAGTATCGCCAAAATCAAACAGACAGAAATAGGCTAGCGAAGCGTTTTCCCAATACAGTGTGAATTTCAGTTTCTTTGCAAGGTAGTAAATATTCAAAATTGGGACTTTTGTCCATCCAAATTCCCAAATATTTACAATTATCAACAGATTGAATGCAGACACCATAAAGAATATTCATGGAGAGGGTTGAAAGCTTTGTTTATCCAGGGGAGAAAGTCATATTTTTAGTTTTGGTTGAGTTTAAAGGCAGTTTCAGATCTGTAAGAGTGTGTTGGAAGGTGTTTTAAAAACAATTTTGTGTTTGTTTCTTGTTTCTGTTGCTTTCTGTCAGTGTATACTCTGATAAAGTACCTTCTATTCTGAGCTTGCCTTTTACATAGTCATCCCTCCCTATCTCTTTTAATGACTTTCAGCTCACATGGTATTTTGTACTATCAGAAGATAGAGAACCGTCCTATTGACGATATTCCAGCTATTATTTGGGATATGTGGAATGGGGAGGATTGTGAGTGGATTTCATGCATTGTTCCTCGTCATATATACTTTAAGTTTGATACCTGCTGTGAATATGTATTATGTAAACCTGTTAAAATTGAAGAAACATATTCTTGGTTAAAAAAAAAAAAAAAAAAAAAGAAGAAGCAAGGGTCCCAAAAGCAATCCTTGTGGAACACCCTTCTTCACAATGACTGGATCTGACATGACATTACCATGTTTAACAATCTGTGAACGACTAGTCAGATAACTGTGGAACCAAGCTGTTAATGAGTAGTAGGTGGTCCAATATTGAAAGGTCTATAAACAGAGACACACATGTTCTAGACCTTGTAATGATCACAAAATTTACCATTTAAAACATTTTACTTACTTGAATTTTGATAAATCCAGTCCAGTAAAACAACGAGTTGAGCTTGAAGAAAAGTTTCTCGGTGGCGTGAGTTCATGGCTGTAAACACATTTACTATCCACTATCAGTGCGAGGATAAACAATGTGTGTTTTTCTTTTACTGATATAAAACCTTTCCAGATTTTTTTTAGGATAGTTCAAAGAGATAGCCTTACAGGGTTATCAGTACACTCTTAATAAAAGTACACTTTATTTATATAGCTGCCTTCACACACAAAGTGAAGGTCAAAGTGCTTTACAGGACTGAGTGGGCATGTACAAACACTGCTTTACTAACATCCCCCTCATCCTTCTGTTAGTTTAGATGCTTCCGTCAGGGCAGGACAACTTAAACTATGGAGCGTTTTCTTTGTTTAACATGTCACAGTGAGGGTAAATAAAGGTATAAATAATAAAGTCAATGATAGCTGCTTCAGTTCAATTAAAATAGCTTTTGTTAATGTTTTGAGCGACATCTGAACTGTCACCAAATGACATTTACATTTACAATTTATAATGGATCTGAACATACAGGGAAACGCTGCACTTAACAGACTCTCTATTCATTGCTGGATATTTGTTGTTGTTATTTTTAAATGTCACCAAATTCGTAGTCATGCTTTATCTAAAAGGTTTCACTGTACTGGCCCTGGCTTCACATTCAACGTTCACACATTCATTGCTTTGTCATTCACACCTAAATCCTTTGTATTTGTTGACTATTGTCGTCATTTGGCTTTTAAATTTGTGTGAAAGGAAATCATTTAACCTGCACAGACCGAGTTTAACTGCTTCGGATATGTGGAGGAGGCATTCCTTTACTCCCTCCTACCACTTTCTCCATATAAACTGTTAGATTATGTTATCTTGCTCGCTCGGTCTTTGACCACCATCCTCATCCTCTCCCATTTTTCAGCCTCTAGTATGGAGATTACATCTGCTGTAATGAAACAAAGGCTCAGGTTTCTCTTAACAACTCTCACTGCTCTTTAGATGATGTCATCCTTCCCCGCAGCCACTGATTCACCATAAACCGACCGTGTGTTAGTCATCACTCGATCATCCTTGGCCTCATTTGCTGCAGTTTCACCATTAATTCATTCTTAATGACATCACTGCAGCAGCTAATCACGTCCACTGCACCTTTACTGCAAGAACTGTATTTCACATGGTAAAATGTGAACACACATATTAGGCTCCCATCAAGAATATTTTATGGTTTTTAATTGGCAAATTACAAACTCATTCTGCTCTCTTGACAGATATTGTTTTATGAATTTACATGCAGCAACAGATGTACTGATGGGTTGGACACCAGAACAGCTTTAGTGCTACCTGACACAGATTCTTCAGCTCTCAGATCATCTACAGGAGAAAAGAAACATCATTCTTCCTTAAGGTATTTCCTCATCTGGTATTTTTATCATGTGGATCAACTGTTTTATATTTATATAATCAAAAGTTAAAACCTTTGTTCATTATCCTATCTTTCCCCCTAAAAGCAACTATTTTTTTATTTTAATTTTGCTCATTTAGTCTCGATTTGCTTGCATTTTTAAAGGGGAACTCCACTGAGTATACTCATCATAAAGAGTGATACTAGAAAATTAGAAAACATTTTTATAATGTGTTTTGCAGCTCTGGAACGACCTTTCCATGTCTGAAAAGACAACTCTGATGGTGTCATCAGAGTTATTTGGACTTAGTGACATTTTTTAACAAAATACATGAATAATATGGTACGCACTATAATGCAAGTTGGCAAAAAATAAAAAAATGGCCATAATTTAGTTATTTTTTGTCATAAAAAGACCAAGTATACATAATTTAAAAAAATCGGTTTCACTTTTGTTTTAATTACGTTTGATATAATACCTCTGGAAAATATTAAAAAACCTTTAAGATTAAAATCCATGGCATTTGAAATTGAAAAAAAAAACCAAACATTAAAATTAACTCTTAACTCGTTTGTTTGTTTGAACATTTTCTTCAGACAACATCGTACCACTGTGGAACATCCCATAGGAATAAATGTGTTAAAGAGTGTAAGAATATTTCAGCAAACTTAACTTCTACATTTACTACAACTATCAAACTAACAGACTGTAAAATGACACAAAAAGACGTTTTTAGGCCACTTTTGTGGAGGGAGTTGATGAAGCTGAACCATGCGAGAAGGATTCCAAAAAAGGGACTCAGCATGTCTTCCAGAGAGTCATGTAAACAGTAATATTGCTTGTCTTGGGGCAATGGCGGAGTATTGCAACATAATTTAGGATTTATTGTGGGGTATAAACAGATGAAAATGGGAATGTTACCTAGAGGCACCATCGATGGGGTAACAAATTCAAAATGTGGGGTTTGGAAGAAGTGGCTGTTTAGGAGACAAGGGTCTGAAATACTTTGCATTTAGGGCAATAAGTTCAGAAATTTACATCAATTTACTGTAATGCAGCCTTTAAAACCAGGAAAATACAAAACTCATATTAAGACACCCAAAATGGAAGACAATAACTTGTTTCATATCACTGTATAGATATGATATCAATATATTGTCCAGCCCTGGCTGCATTGTGGGAAATGTAGGATCTAGCATTTTAGGATCAGCATTTCTTGAAGCACACTTGGAACTAAAATATCAAGATATCTCTGACCAACCCCATTTTAAGCTGTCCCACCACAGACAAGATTTTCTGGAAAAAAGCGACTGATAATGATGCACTTTACTGTGAAATCCCAATTACTAATGGTTTTAAGAACATTTACCCTAATACTTCTATTAGTAGCCCAGGTTATTATTAGCTTACATCACTGAAGTCAAAAGGCGTTTATTCGGGACAGGCCTTTAATTTCGTTCATGCAAAACTGTTGCTCAGCAAAGATGGGAAAAACAGTCAAATTGTTTATTTGAACCAGTATAGATATCACACAGCAATTATGAATCATTAATTTAATCTAGCTCCGACAGACAGGCCATCAGAGAAAGAGAACCATATGACACTCATTTTACAGAACTCAAGGATTACGGCACCCAGCATATTGACACAACACAACTTTATCCTGTTAAAACAATACTCAAAAACTTGGATTAATTTTTATGAAAAACCCTTTTGATTCTTTTGAGCAGTGGACTCTTACAGACTAAAGGGATATGAATAACTTACTGGGTAATCAAGTAACGGACACATATTCTGACTTTATAACAGCTTCAAAGGTACAGAGTCACCACTGGTTCTTTCATCATGATGGTAAATCTGAATGAATTACGGTCTTCTCTGGTGCTCATAGTTTCAATAAAATGAACTGACTGAATTGTGGAGAATCTAACTAAGCTGGAACATTTATATTTGTAGGTGCGATCTGCACAGCTATCTAACATTAGCTCAAGTAGGTAGTCGACAACCCGGTTTTAAACATCCAGAGAACTTCTTTACAATGAACTGCTTGGCAATCAGACCAGGCCTGTAATTGAGACAGGCCTTTATTTGTCAAAATGTGTAGCCACACCAGGCTAGTAAAACAGATTGGGCATTTAATTGGGACTAGGCTTTTAATTTAAGTTATACCATAGTTGAGATATGAATATGAGTTTGTCAGCTGACTATAATTCAAATAGCCATCATGCTCTATCTGATGCACCTACTAGAATAAAAGCTGGAGCTTTTATTTAATCATAAATAAACCCCCAAACACTATCATGATTTTTGATTAAACCATGTTTTATTATTCCTAATATTAGATGTAGATACACAAGTCAACAAACATTATTTTAGATTTTGTAATGAAAATGCTCCACAGCACACTGACATCGTGTGGAAGGGTCTGGTATTACAGACACGTACCTGAAAATGGACAGCAGTTATAATTTTTGCAATAACTTGCATTAGTAACAGTAGTAGTAATAGTAACAACAGTAGCAATAATGATAATAATAGCAATTAATAATAGTAGTGGTATTAACAACTCTGAATTACAGAGGAAGGAACAGACATTCGTCAAAAGTAATGAGAAATGAAGGTAGGAGGACAGGCTTATCAAATGCTGCAAGACAGACCACTGGATGAAAAAATACAAGCTCCCACTAGACAGCAAATATCCTGCCTTCTTCTAAAAAAAGGAAGCTCAAATTGTCACCAGTCTGTTTTCACCCATATCTAATACTTAACAAGTAAAAGTTTATTTTTTTCTTCTTCATTAAGTACTCCATTGTTACAAGTACTCTCATTACCAAAAACTCATCTCTTTGACATCAAGAATACATTACTTTTCATGTCCTGGTCAAAGCTCACCAGTAGCACGATGCTATTTTTAAAAGGATGCAACATCGAATCGCAGCCAGCTGAGGACGTTTCCACAAAACTGGGTTGCCAGGGTCATTCTGCATTGAGTATACAGTACAGTATTAACGTGTGAGCGCGTGTGAGAGAGATAGAGAGAGAGAGAGAGAGAGAGAGAGCTCGTGTACAGTATGTCAAGTATGAGAAATATTTTTGCTTCACATGACCAATTTGGCCAAACTAATTTGAATCATTCACATTCAAATGAGCTGATAAGAAAATACACTGTTTGACCTTTAAGTCCCTAACATCGACTGGATGCTGTGTCTGATGTCCAGAGCAGAGAGAAGGTAGCACTAAAAACAGCTCGTCCACCGGGGAAGAATGACTCCTCCATTCGAAATTGTGCACAATGTACGCTAACTGCGTCGGCTCACTTATGTATGCAATGACCATATTGACTCTCCTAGATCGTAGCTAAGTCTAAGGCTACTTAACTGATACAAATCCCACTGACAGAGACAAGGCAGTCAGACTGATAAAGTTTGAACCAGGTGCTGTCACTGTTTAGTAGTCTCAAAGTGGATGTGAGGATACTTCTCTGGGGTCTTTGATTTGAGCGTTCCACATTCATTTGGGACTGGAAAATAAGGCCAGCTTGTTAAACTTCCAGCTGTTTGTGTTATCGCAACAGTTTGCCTTTTTCAAAGGCATGGTGTACACATCCAGGCAATTACCAGCTTTAAAAGAGTTACTTTTCAGAGTGTAATAAATCAGAAATAATTACTCGCTTGCAACCTACTTAAAATGATCCATAAAACTCTTGAATTCAGAATTGTTATCCAGTAACTTCCTGTTGCATTTTGGCAGTTAGAAAAGGCAAATTAACCCTTGGATTTAAGTGACTGACTATAATAACAGTTAACGACCAATTTATATAAGATTGCACTACTGCCTACAGTCTCACAAGATACTAGAAATGCTCTTATCATCTCAAACATGTAGCATATTTGAGGAAACTAATAAACACCTATCTCTTTTTTTTTACATATTGGATTGCCATTATCTTGATTTAGAAATGCCAATTACATAGTTGCTCTCCAACCCTGCATATGAGGTGATCTTTTCCAGAGTACATCGACACAGAAGAGAATAGATGGCAATGATGGAGACACATACAAGTATAAACCTACATGAAGTCATGCCACATATGCAAGAGAGCAAAGCTCGTCTAAGAGACAATTTGGGACTTCTCCCTCCCTGCCACCACTAGTGGGCAGAGCTTTCTGTCGTTGCTGTTAATTCATATTGTACCTGCATATATAATCCACTGACATACATTAGATCATTGCCACAGGGCACATTTTTAACATTCTCATCTTCGTACTACAAAAACTTTCGTTAAGACTGTTCGAATGGAGGGCGGGGTTGTAAAAAGGGGTTCAGTGTATCTGGAGTGGGTTCAAGTAAGGCTCAGTACACCTCTCTCTGTCAGGTAGCATATGAAGCGCATTCTTCACTGCCTGTCTGATATCACTTGCACACCCCTCACTTCACCTGTAATGAGACCTGTCAGCTGTCCATCTGTCCTGCTCGCATCCTCGCGGTCTGCCACGGAAAATGTGCTTCAGCTTTTTATCTACAAACTGCCCCTGTGCCTTCACACCAGCAGATAGAGAGAGAGAGAACGGAAATAGATATTAGAAGACTTAAACAGAAACAATGAAAGCGTCTGGTCTGGAGGAACTTCATTGGTAATGTCAGCTTACATAAAATAAAAACCAGAAGCAAAGAAAAAGCTAATTTTATGAAATCATTCCGGTGATATTGTTATTTCGTGTTTGTGTCTGATTTTCGTCTGCGGACCGAAAAGCAGCATTCATCTGGCCACGTTTGATCAGGTATAACATAAACGTGCAAAATCCACAGCACCACAACTCACACACGCACACACACACACACACGCGCGCACACACACTAGAAAACTAATCTTCTCTGCTTTGTACAGAAAAAAAAAAAGTTGAAAATCAAGCAGAAAAGATCACTCAAAAGAAATAATCAAATACAGGCAAAATTAGAGACAAAATAAAAAATAAAACCACTTATTAAATATATATATATATCATTTTCCCAATGAAACTTGTGATCACTTACTGCACACTGCTAAAATTTAATGAACTTTATTTTTTTTTCTCAAAAACACCTCATCAACTGTCATTCCTAAAATAAACAAAATAATACATACAAAGGGCAAGCCCAACATTCTCCACTAGAACCAAATTTGTTTCTCTCCACAACATGAATCAAGATTATCTACTGGCAAATTAATTAGTTTGTTTTCTCAAACCAGCAATAGCAAAAGATAAATAATAATAATAATAATAATAATAATAGCAATAATATCGGTCAGGTTAATAACATCAATACCAAGAACAGAAAAAGAGACTGATGTGATCCTTCCCAAAGAGAGAGCGTTTTAAAGTGGAGAAATAAAATCAGGGTGCACCACAGTGGAAAGCCTCCATCCATTGTTTAACTAGCGACACGGCATCAAAGTGGCTCAGCTAGTCGAGACTCAGGGAAGAGGAAGAATTCATGTTGAGCGAGAGCCGTGTTGGTGGGTTGGAACTGAACTGGGCCTGAATCCTTGCTAATGCCAACCACACCTGTTACTGACTCAGACTAATAAGCTCAGCTGGTCGGCTGAAATTGGATGAGGGCTTTCATTGTTGGGTGCAGCTGAATGTGAATTATGAATTGAGTGAACGTAAAAGAAAATGACAGATAAAACTGGCGAGGGAGAGAATCAGAGAGAAAGAAAAGAAACAAAGTTCTCTGTAAGCCACGTACAGTAGCTGTCGACAAATTCCTTGGGGCCTGCACTGAGAGCAGTGTGTTTGTGTGACCGGTTTGTACTTTGCTTTCTGCCTGCTTCAGTCTGTTGAAATTTTGACAAATGTAGTTTCCATCGATTTAAACAAGAGTTCTATTTTTTCTTGCCAAAGAAGCTGAACCTCTTCTCACGATCCTTCTCTTTCCCCTCCTTGTTGCGCATGGTAACGCCTCCGGCTTCACCTGAGCTGGGGGAGATGGGAGGCATCGTCATGGCGCGGCTGAGGGCCCGCGGACCTACTGGCGAGTCTCCTGATCCTGCTGGAATGGAGTTGTGGATGGAACGGATCCAGGAGCTCATCTCCGCCTTTAAACAGCCAAAAATATTTATTATACTTAACCATTGTGAAGGAGAGTCACAGGACACAAATATAATTTGTATTCAATTATGTGTTTTAGTAGAGTGATTCTGTTCACATCTCACCTCATCCTTTGCTTGGAATAGATACTCTTTTCCATCTCCTAGCCTGCAGACACAATGTTGAAGACCATTAGTCAGATATAAGCTATAAAATAATACATCTCACTATTTCACCATCTTGTTGGTATTTTATTACAGCCTCTCACTTTAAAATAAAATAAACTAGAACTACCGCCTCACGGTTGTATTTCTCCACAAACTGGTCAAGTTGCAGTTAGTTTACAACCATGTCTGTGAAAACATGGATGATTCACACACATATCTTCAACACGGCAGCACAAAAGATCAACAATCAGCACAGTCTCAAGGTGGACAACTAAATTTAGTGTCACCAATTCAGTATCTGACCAAATGTCTCCCCTTCTGTTCCTGAGTTATGACGTTGAGTCAGACATGACCAGAAAAGTGTTTTTGCAGAACATTATGACGTTGCAGTGAAGTTGACCTTTGACCTTTTGGGAAATAAAATGTCATCACTTCATCATTTTATCCTAGTAGACATCTGTTTGAAATTTTGTCACAATTAGCGTATGAATTCTTGAGTTATGGCCAAAAACATGTTTTATGGGGTCACAGTAACCTTTGACCCTCAACCACCATATTCTACTCAGTTCATTTTTAAGTCTAAGTGGGTGTTTGTGCCAAATTTGAAGAAATTCCTTTAAGGTGTTCTGAAATATTCACAAGAATAAGACAGATGCAAGGTCACAGTGACCTTGACCTTTGACAACCAATTTCTAATCTTTTCATTCTTGAGTCTGGGTGAATGTTTGTGTCAAATTTGAGGAAATTCCCTCAAAGCCTTCTTAAGATATTGCATATAGGAGAATGACACAAATGCAAGGTCACAGTGGCTTTGACCACTAAAATCTAATTAAGTCATCATTACGTTTAAGTGAATGTTTGTGCCGAATTTGAAGAAATTCCCTAAAGCTGTTCTCGAGCTATTGCGTTCACAAGAATGAGACAGGGTCATAATGACCTTTGACCACCGAAATCTAATCATTTCATTGGATCCAGGTGGGTGTTTGTGCCAAATGAAGAAATTCCCTCAAGACGTTCTTGAGATATCATTTTCACAACAATAGGACGGACAACCTGAAAACATAATGATAAATAAATCAAACAGCGTGACAACTGTACTGAATCAGGAACCCTTTTTCTGACATCATTAGTTACCAAGTTTATTCTTACCTGAGCTTGAATACAAATTTCCTCTTCTTATAGTCGTGAGCCACCTCGCACACAGCCTCCCCGAGGCTTATGGGTACCTCTCCGTGGTATGGAATGCCGTTGCTAGCGCTCTTGTTGTCCTTATAGAAACCGAGACTTCCTTTTCTTAGGACACAGTACACGTTCTGCCAGGATCTGTGGGAGTAAAAAAATAAGTAAGATGTGGAAAAATCACCAGTAAGAGCTTTTTAACACAACCAACCATTTTCAAGCAAGAATATGTTTTTAAAATTGGGGACAAATTAACAACATAAGCAACTGAGTTTACATGTTGCTCTGAAGTTAGCATGTAGGTTTAAGTAGCACTGTAGGCTATGTAATGTAAATGCCTGGAGCCAATGATGATATAAAGAAATCTGGCACACTATGATGAAGATAGCCAGAGTAGACAAAACTGTAAGAAACAAGAGTGTTCAGAACGGTCTGAAGCCTGAGGTTTATGCTCACAGGAATTATTTCTACATACGAACATCCAACATTGTAACATTATATAAGACGCAAAATACAGACAAGCATAACAGGTCCCCTTTAATGCACTTGACCAACCCCCTCCATACCAACACTCACCTGGTAGCTGCCTTTTTGCTGTGGGACTCCATCTCCTGTTTTCGACAGAGCATCCCCTCCATGGTATCTGGCTCGGACTCTGCTCCACCCCTGCTCGGTAACGTGGCAGAAGGCTCAAGGCGAGACGATGCCAGCCCGCTGTCCCTTCCTGGTCCGTTCACCGACTCAGACTCTGAGCCCTACGGTTCAAACCAAGAACATGAATGGTGGTGAGGAGGTGGAAAAACACGAGACTGGATGGAAGCAGTGAGCAGCAAAGCAGCCATTCACAGCCATACATGAAAAGCCATGATGACGCTTGCTTTGACAGCACCATATGATTACCTCAGGTAACAGCATAGCGTGGGTCCACATTATCACACAGTACACTGATATTACACAGGACGATTACAGTCACTCATACGGGTGAGATATACAATTAAAATAACAGCACATGTGTGAAACATGCATGCTGGACCGAACATGGATAGTTAAAATGTTAAAATAATAATAATCAAAATGTACCTGCTGCCAGGTTTGTTTGGAACAGAGGCAGATACAAATTTGCAATGTAAATATCATTACTGGTATTCTTAAAATAATCTTTGCCTCTTCAGTCAAGTATCAGTAATATATTGAGCCACTATTACACACACACACACACACACACACAGACAAAACATACATGAACTCAAATACAGGTCAACTCTAAAAGCCTAAAATCGTTTACCAAATTTATCTTAAATACAGAAACCACAGAGAACATGATGCCTTTTAAAGTACTCGTTTGTGACAGTAGTTGTGTTTCTATTTCCTCAACAAACCTTTTTTCTACAAAGACTATTAATGACTTTCACACTCATCACAGGAAGTGTACACATATAGGGAAAGACTAAAATGAACTACACATAAATCATCTGCGAACAGCTACAGTTACCACCACATTTACAACTCTGGGCTTCACACGTACAGTCACTCCTGTCCTGGTCAATATGAGCACATATACAACAGCAGATTGATCCATGACAGCAATCTGTTCATGAATCTGCATCATGCCTTTTAAAACAGCAATGGGACTCATTGATGGAACATGAATAAATAAAGCGATGGTTTTGCATCTGTGACAGAGAGCGATGGCTTCTCAACAGAAGAAAAGAGGCACTGCAGTTGACCAGGAGCTGAGCGGAGGCTGTGACGGGGGCGAGGGGAGAGCTACACAGCTGACCGCGGCTTGGTACTCACACGCTCCGGCTGCTTTGGCTTACACACACGTTTAGGCTCTGATTTCTTTCCCACTGACAACGATAGCGATAATGACTGCTGATAAAAACGTAACAAGACATTGTTAAGAAGTGTTTTAGACACTGGTTACACTTCTAGAACTTTTTCTCAGACACCATTTTGATTGGCTTCTAACAACAGTCGTCAACAACTGTGACCATATGATCAATGTATACAGAAATGGCTCCCTTTCTCTGACTGATTATTCTCTGTAGTTTCTGCTGCAAACCTTAACATTTATTTCTGCTTTCAACCAGCAGCTAGTGTAGGCTACCATCATCTCCTCCGGCATCTGCCAATAAGGACTTTCACTATATCGTGTAACATGCATGAAGTATGTCCCACCCAGATCCCAAACCCCACTTCAGGGTTCCTGAGGTGGTGGGTAAGTTTCTTCATTTGCAAGCCTGATTCTTTTCAGAAAAAGTGCTTCCACAATACTAACTTATTTTTCAAGTATCATCAAAAATACCTAAAAAAAATAAAAAATTCTGCTTAAATAAACACTTCATAATTTACAATTAATAGCCATTCTCTGATGACAAAAATACATATATTACTTTCAACTGGACAATAGCAAATTACATGATAATGTAACAAGGTTTGTACTGAAACAACACTGTTGATTGGAGTAGAACAGACAGAGACAGGGACACACACTCACATACACTTACATTATGTATTAAATGTATGACATAGTCACAGGTTTGGACTTCTTTTACAACTCATATACTTTCATGAAATTCATAGTTTGCAACATAAGGTTATATTTGTCATAGTAATGGAATAGTATTAAATGTGGACATCTCATGGCAACATCTGTACAAAGTTACCATTATTTCTTTCATTTATCTTTCTGTAATTGACTTTTTGACACAGACTGAGTGGGGGGGCGAATATAATCCATGTCATAATGTAGAAGATGAATCATGGAACATAGAAAAGACATTATAGGACATTATGTGCTCGAGCCCAAAGGTAAAAAATGACATTAGAAACCTGGTAAAAAATTACAGAGCAGAAACCTGTAGCACACAAAGCATTTGGATTTAAAAAACACTCACCTGAGATGTGTCATTGTCGCTGTGAACTCCATTCACTGACACCGACTGATTGAGTGTGGTCTGGTCCAGACTGGTTCTGTGTTAAAAAGAAAAAAAATCAATGTCTGTTGATACTGTACGCCAACACCGTTCTGCTCCACCATAACTCCCCTTTATTTTACCTGGCTGCAGAATCATGTGCTTGACTTTCTGTCTCAGATGGTGCCACTTCTACTGGGGGCGGTGTCGGGGGTCGCCGCGCTCTCTCCTCTTCCTCTCGCCTCCTCTGGATCTCCTGCTCCTCAAGCTGAAAAACGGGAAGTCAGTTGTTTTATCTAAACCTAACACCTCATGAGTGAGGAAAAATCAATGCCTACATTCACAGATGAGAGGCGGACATCCTGTACATCCTGTACATCCTGTATCTATTGCACCAGACGCTATTTTGATGTGTAAGTCATCTCTCTACTTACTGTAGTGAGTTTCTCTAGCAGCGAAAAGCGGTCTTCCCAGGCTGCAGCAAGCTTCTCAAAGGCCTCGTGGCGCTTAATTAGGCTCTCTACCTCATCCACATTTGAGCCCAGATCGGCTGCTCGCACCAAAGGTTCCTGCCCTGCCAACCAAGACTCTGCCACATAGGCATCGCGTCCAAACTGCAACACCTCCAGCACTGAGATGCAGAGACAAGAAGAGCAAAAGATAAAGAGGGAGAAACAAAAAGACAGAGTGAACAAATAATGAGACATTAAGAAATACAGCATAAACAGCAACAGAAACTATTAGTAGTGAGTCAGATGCTTACTAGCACATTTATGCACATTTATATTTATTGAGTGTCTGTAATTGTTGTGTTTGATCTATCTACATTACCTACCTACCCACCTACCTATCTATCTGTCACGTCTACCTATTACGGCCCTTTCAGACCAACTGTAGCTTCATGGCAAAAAACAAAAGCTTCACTGATTTGAGTAAGACCACTTCGTTGGTGCGGGAAGGGTTACTCAGCAAAGGGGTCACAAAATAAAAAATAAAAACATATGCAAACAAACCAAAACGTTAGTCCTGGCTCTACTTTTGCCATATTGCAATCAACACCCATCTAATACGTGTATGACCTATGACCTGCAGAAAAGGCGGCTGATATGATAACTTTGAGTTATCCTTATCCTATTTCCGAGGGAGGAATGAATCTGTGTCTCTTAGAACTTTAACCTGGACATATGTGTTTGTACTTTATCTGACTACCTTTACCCCATACCCTCTGCCAATCACACCACAGTATGACTCACAACTCTTTTACCATGGCACTATTAGACTCAGTGTGCCCCTATTCTCTATAACATGTTATGCATGCATACCAATTTGTAAATGGTCCATCTTGTCTTGCCACTTTTTGTTGATCTTGTCTCTCTTTTCCTGCAGTTGAGCCAGTTTCTCCCGGATCTGTGAATCAAGATGAAGAGAAGAACATTAAAGGAGAAGTGTGTAGAATGTAGTGGCGCCAAGGGGTTAAATACACCATCACTCACGCCTCCTTTTCCAAGCAGAATTTTAGTTTTTTCCTTGGATTGGTTAGGGTTAGGGTAAAAATATCTGGGTAGGCCAATCAGAGGCAGAGAAAATCAGAGCATCCAAAATGGCTCTCAAGAACCTAAAGTGGCTTCAGGTAACAAAATCAAGAAAGGACACCTCTAGCGCCAATATTGTGTTTGTTCTGGGCCACCATAGAAACATGGAAGTGCAAAATGCCATTTTTTTTCTCCCCTACTGTGCTGTGATTGGCTAGTACCAATCCTTACTATGACCTTTTTGCCCTATCTTTAACCACGACCTCAAAGCATTCCACCTCCACAAATCGAAGTGACAAGTACTAGCCAATCACTGCACAGTAGGACGGGACTCCTGATAAACAAACATGTGAGCAATTGTAGATATTAAGAGCTCTTTCTTATCCAACCAAAACACAGCAAACCTTAGTGTCAGGTACACTAATGAAAACATAATTATGGATATCATGTCATTTCTGCCAATAACTGCCCCGCCATTCCACACACTGGTCCTTTAAGTAATAACCCACATGAGTCATTAAGTGTATTCCCTTTGACTCAGACCTCATTCTTGTAAATATGCATTGGTATGACTGTAGATAACAGTGGAAGTGAGCCATGGCAAATTACCTCATCGGCTGCATAGTGATTATTGTTGATGAGAGTATTTCCCATCTCAATACAGGCAGTAAAGCTGTCTGCTCTTGTCTCGATCTCTGACTTGATGTCCTGATGATTGGCAATGACCAGTCCTGCAGAGGACACATCCCTGGGACAACAGAGAGGAGACAGAGTTGAGATTTAAATATGTTTGACACACTGATTATAACAGCATTTATGACAGTAACTGGCAAGTTAAGCATAAAATGACATTCACCTGGGGCTGTCATGTGCATCTATCTGCAGGTTGACACCGTCCATCCAGAGCATGAGGTCTCGCACCATGTTGAAGAAGCGGAACTTCTCCACAGTGTCCAGCAGGAGGAGCCTGCGGGCCTGACCAGCCTCAAGCAGGCCTTCCCAGGCAGAAGTCACAGCATGTTCACTCCTGTGAATGTCATCAGCTTTCTCCCCAGCATAAGCCTTCTGCAACCGTGCTGCATCATCTTGCACCTGGTTCACCTAATGGGTAAAAGATGAAGCAGGGACATTCAGGTTTCTATTCACATTCCCTGAGTCTCACACGAGATCTCTTTATTAACTGATAGCTGACCTGTCCACTGAGGGCCTGGATGTCATTTTCGAAAGTGTTGTGCTGTCTGTGTAGATGTTGAACAGTGTTCAAATCACGGCCAAGGTCAGAGGGCAGGCCCTCCCTCTTCTCCTTAACACGCCCAAGCACCTCCATGGCATCCTGATGGAAGCGGTGCAACTCATAGGAGGCTGCCAACATCTGTGTGCGTGTGTCGATCAGCTCCAGCAGATCAGCCCAAGCCTCGTTTAACCCATCCTTCCACTCAGCCACACTGGCGTTCTCAGGATGACCCGACTCAATCAGGTCATCTGCCAGCCCATTTACACCATCCACACGCTCTTGGCCGATGGTGCTGGTGTCACGAGCAAACTCCCGGAACTTGTCCCTCAGCATCTGTAGAAAGAAAAATTAGGGCAAAAATGGGAAACATAATTAATTCAGCTAAATTTCCCTGAGCATCAGTGTCTCCAAAGTATGTGACAGAGAAAAAAAACTCACTGTGACATGTTCATAGTCCTGTCCTAGTTCGTGGGAGCCAGCAACCACCTCCCTCTCAGCAATCCACTGTTCCAGGTCATCCACCTCCCGCTTCAGCTGGGTCAGCCGCAGTCTCTCCTGAAGCCGCCCACGACGCTCCTCAGCGAGGTCTTTCAACCCTGCATAGAGTTTGTCGACTTGGGCTTGCCTTAAGGTGATTCTCTCGCTGTGTAAATAAAAAGACAGATCAGTGGTTGTGGGTGTGCAGCTTCCTTCGTTAGAAAGCTTGTGTCACATGTTAGTTTAACATTTGGATCTATTTGTGCTCCCTCACCTCTCTGGGTGTTCACTGGTGACCATGAGGCGGCTGCTGTTGGCTAGTTGGTGAATGGTTTGGGCGTAGTCTTCAAGCGCCTGTTCGAGGGTCTGGTGCTTCTTGACCATTACTAGTGCGCTTTGCTCATCCTGGGAAACAAACACAGGAGATTATCACATTTTGTCAAGACAGAAAGAAGTGTAAGAGCAATTCTACGTCCTATTTTGTCTCGTCTTACCTTGGCTTTTTCCTCTGACATCATATGTAGCTCTTGTTCTCCCATCCAGGCCTCGGCCTCTGCTGCATCAGCATAGAACTGCTGGGCGCGATTGGCTTCCATTAGACGGGCATTGCGCTTGTCTGTCTCGGCTATCAGCTGGCCCCAGAGGTCCTCCAGCTCAACGAGGCGCTCCTCCAGGACAGACTGCCTATCACCATCTAACTGGCTCTGAGTCTTGCCTCGTCTGAGGATGTCATCGATGCGAGGCTGGTGGCCCTGAATCTCCTTCTGCAATGTCTGATTCAGAAACAAAAGGTGGGTTTGGTATTTTCCACACCTCACATTTGCCTGTGGTGTATGCTCAGTGAAGGTGTTTAATAATCTAGAGATGCCAGTGAGTGTATTGTAAGTCACCTTTATCTTCCTTTTAATTAACCTGTATTACAACATTTAAAAACAAAGTAGTAATTAATCGTTTCAGGAAATTGATTCTTTTTTCACTGTACCTGGTTCTTCTTACTCAGCAGCTGTACAGTGGGCAGGTCTTTTCCATGGTCTGTGGAAGACGCCAGAGGCATCCTCTCTTTCACCCATAGCTGAGAGGAAAATAGATGAATGAATAAGACATGAGTATCAGGTGAAAAAGGATGCAATAAAAAAAACTCACTTACTCCAAACTTCTACATTTTATTTATGCAAGCAGTCAGGTAATCCCACTCACGATTTCATCCTCCAGATCTCTGTTGAATTGATGTGCTTCTTTGGAGGCGAGTAGTCGCTGTCTCCTTAGTTTGAGAGGATCCTGAAGGTTGGAGAAGTTGTCAGTGACACGCCTTTGCTGACCATCTACTTCGGTGAGTCCAGCTTCCTCCTGGGACAGGGCCAGAGCCTGAGACTGGAGGGACTGCACCTCCTTCTCTCTGACCTCCATTTGGTGCTCCAGCATCTATACAGTGACAGAACAAAAATGTTAGACACGGAGGTATGACATTAAGCAGCTTTGGCCAGTCCCAACACATGCACTTAGCTCAGCAAGTTCAGGATTTATAAAATACATTTTGAAGCTTTTTCAGCACGATTACAATCACAGTAAATCTTCTCAGTACACATTTTGTGTAAAATGAACAGTATTTCATGACAGCAGAGATGCCATAGATTATGCTTTGCTTGCACAGCGTGCTCTATACCTGGTGCTTCTTGAGCAGGATGTTGACACTAGTCAAATCTTTGCCATAGTCATCACTCTGCAGCTGACCCTCAAGGTTTTTCAGCCAGACATCCAGAGCAGAGCAGCTCTGTGTAAAGAGCTCTGCCCGGTTAGCGTCGAACAAGCACTGGGCCTTGGTGCGGGTGGTGCCCTCCAGCTCCTCCCACTGACGCTGAAGGTCCTCCAGGGTCTGCTGAACGACAGGTTTGAGCTCCGGCTTCTCCGCCACCAGCGCCTGACCCTCCTGTTGGAGACAAGGAAACAAGAATATGTTTGAATTGATGGCAGAATAAATTATTGATGAAATGCCAGCTAGCCTTATTGATCAGCCAACCCATTAACAGGCAGATAAATGGATGTCTAAATACTGATTGATAACATTAAATTCAACAACGATTAATATAAAAATGGCCACACCTTATCAATTTTGTCAAGCCAGTCTTTGTTGGAGGCCAGCTCTGCCATGAAGGCCTGATGCTTCTGCCACTTGCTGTGAAGATTTCTGGCCTCATCGTAAGACATGTCCTGTGCTGTCAGCATCTTCTCATTGATCCACAACGTGAGCTACAGAAAAGAGAACAGCATTATGGAACAAGCATTATTTCTCTAGTGATAAACACAAATTCTATAGTTTGTTTCTTATGATTAACTAACTGTCACATATTTATCCCTTTACTGAGAGTATTATTCATTCTGCTAATATTTCATTTGATTTTAAAAATAATTTTACCTCCTGTCCATCTTGAAGGAAGTGCTGCAGTTCACGGTTATCCTTGAGCTTTGCCAGCAATTCGTTTGCAGCCTCTTTATTTTTGAGATGCCTGGAGAAAATTAATGAGAAGGTTAAATGAGCTTCTGTCCTTCAAACTACAAATTAAAAAGAAAAACATTAATGGCGGTCGGCTCTAACCTTTCCTGGATGGAATCAACTTTTTCCTGGATCTTGTCCGAGTTTGCATTACAGTCATTAATGAGGCGCCGTCCGGCCTCCACCACGCCAGTTATCTTCTCCTCGCTGGCCTCTGTGGTGGTGAGGAAATCCTCGTGCTTCTTAATGGCCTCCTCTGCTCCCTGAAGAGTGGTGGGCATTTCTGTGTGGGACAGCACGTACTCCTACACAGAGAGGAAAGGAATGTCACTTTGTGTTACATTTCTTATGTGTAATTATCTAATTCTTCATGATTTTTGCGGCCTGTTGGCGTACTGTAAGTGACGGGTTGAGATTAAGACTTATAAAACAACTACAATCTGGGGATATAGTAAATAATTCAAAATAGAACAAGCCACAAATATAATTTTTCTGCTCCTGTCTCTGAATTCAAATTCTTATGTTGTTCCAGTCCTTAAGTTGTCAATTAATTTTTTGTGCCACTTAGAACTATGACAGTAGGTCTTTCAATTTTATGACATCACCTACTGTAGTATAGTGGCCTACACCACACAGATCTAGGCTTATGGCCCACTTATAGTGCAGCTTACATCTCTCCTCCCAGTTGCTCTGATTTGAGAGCATGTGAAAACACAGAACTGGCCACCAGTGTAAACAAACCACAAACACCCAGACAACCACAATAGAGACTAATATAGGATAAACAGAGTTTAAACATGAGGGTAAACATATTTCTGATTATCAGAACAACACACTTGTGTTGTACTAAAACCAGTGTGGGAACAACACTGGTTTTAGTGTTGTTTTAGTTCAGAAAAGACAAATCTAAGCTTGGAAATTATTTTAGCGGTTAAACCATCACAAAATTGCAAATCTGAAGATTGAATCAAATCAGTTTCAATTAATTCAGATTAGAGATATGATGACTTTGTATTGTAATCAAGTGCAACTTAGTCATGTTGAGAAAAATGGGAGGTGCAAGAGGGCAGATGGTCTGCTGAGAAATTTGTATTTGATTTAGATTTCTTTCCAACTCATACTTAGTTTAACCCATGCTCTGCTTAAAGGCATAATCATCTACTTAAATCATGCAGTATATCTATGTATTTCAGGTACACACAGGTATTTGGCTCTGACTTTGGCACTGACTGGTGGACTGTGGACTGTGCCAAATAGGCTTTACAATGATACATGATAGCTCTCTGGCACAGGCTATGTTGTCCGTACCTGGCTGTTGAGGAAAGCCTCTGCCTGCTTCGCGTCTCTCAAGAAAGTCTGGAAGTCAAACGCTTGGGCCAGAAGACTGTGGCGGTTCTCCCACATGCGACGCAGCTCATGCCAGCCAGTGTCCAGTGCCTGGAGCCTCTGGGCCAAGAACATGTGTTGGGCATCCGTCTGACCTTGGGTCACCTCCTCACCGACCGCTCGCATCTTCTCGTAGTCCTCCTTATAGTTATCCACCTCATTCTTAATGTTCTCGTGCTGGGCGAGCAAACTCTCAGCCTCAGGCAGAGAGGTGGGAATATCCTCTGAGGCCACAGCCGTCTGGGTGCGGGACAGCCACGACTGGAAGTCATCCAGATCCCTAAGGAAGCCCTGCAGCTTGCTGGCTTCACCCAATGACTCTTCACGTCGCTTCATGGTGGCATTCAGCTCCTCCCACACCTCTTGAATCTCTGCCAGGTGTCCTTGAATCTCTCCAGCCTGATCGGGATGTTCCATGGCCAGCTTTTTAGCCTCATTTCTCAAATCATCCAGTTTACCCTGAAAGGACATGAAAAATCATTTAAATGCAGAAATGATGACAAGATATGGCAATACGAAGCCCAAAATGATCCTACGATCAATTTAGCTTATTTTTACATTATCTGTTACACAGTCTGTTCTGTTTACATCCCTCACCAGTAAGTCACTGCATGTGACCTCTTCATACCTCAATGGCCTCCAGGTCCCTCTCCATGCCAGTGAGTTTGCGTTGCAGTGCCATCACACCAGCCAGGTCATTGCCCAGGCTCTGGGTGGATTCAATCACTTTGGTCTTTTCCTTCATCCAAGTTTGGATCTCATTACACTCCAAGTGGTAGTTCTGGATGTTGAGGGCCGACTCCAGGGCTTGTTTCTTTTGGCCAGCCATTTGTTCGAACTCCTTCCATCTAGGGATCACACCAAGTGTGAGATTTAGGTTAAAAATGCTAACTATAGTACTCATTGATTACAAATATATTTTTGTGTACAATAGTGGGGTTCAGTAGGCATCATGTGTTAGCATTAACCTGTTGTGTAGTTGGTCTCGTGTCTGGTGGATTTGGTCTTTGTTACAGTTGTCGGAGCTCAGCAGCTGCTCGGCCACCTGGTTCACATCATTTACACGAGTGCCTAGGTTGTTCATCTCAGGTTCCAGCGTCTCAAATCTGCAGTCATAAATAATAGACCAGCATTAATTCACTCATTCTGAAAAGTCTACTTTCATTTAGACTACATATTTCAATAGATAATAAAACTCAGTAACATTTTGTATACTTTTAAGAACAAGATTAGAGCTACACAATGATGTACTGGACATTTCTAAATATTGTAACAGTTTTAATCGTCTGTGGAATTTCATCAAAATGACCTAATGTGTTTGATTTCACAAATGAAATTACTTCAGAGTTCAAAGTTATGTAATTGTCCAGTTAGAAAGAATTCCAAGAGCATCCCTCACTATTAAAAAACCTGGTCTCACACATATTTGAATGGATTTTTAATTGTTATTTTACATGTGTAAGTCGCAGCTTCAGTGTCTCCAATTTGAAAAGGCTTTTTAAAGTATAGGAATTAAGCTGTCATCATGTTTCCCCTAAGTTAAATCTTCTGTATTGACAGTCTTCCCTTCTCTCCAGACTAACCTCTGCTGCACCACCTCTAAGTCCTCCAGTTTGGTTGGGATCTCCATGCTATCTAACCACTGCTCCTTCTCCTCCACCCAGAGCTGGCAGGCACCAGCTTCACTGAACATGCGGTAGAGGGCCAGGGCCCCTTCCAGAGCCTGGCGCCGAGCCACTGACAGAGACTCCAGTTCTTCATAGCGCTGCTCAATAGCAGGTAGGCGGCCATCCACCTACAGTCAGCCATAAACAATAATTTAGTACTACCAACAGCATGTCATCACCGAAGAAGTATGAAATTACAGCACACATACCTGAGGGAAATGTACATAGGCCTGTGGCAGTGCTTGGACCTGCTCATGCAGGGAGTCGATGCCGGGGCGGTGACTCTGGATCTCCTCATCTATCTCCCTCTGTTTGCGAGCGAGAGTTTGGGTGGAGAACTCGTCATGGCCCACCTCTGTACTGGACACCTGTCTAAGTGTCTCCATGATCCATGCCTCCATGTCATTGGCATCTGTTTGAAACTGGTGCAGGGCCACTGCTTCTTTAAGGCTCTGCTCTCTGAGCTTAGTTGTCTGGGAAGCAGGGAGAACAAGAAAATTACAAAAACAATAAAGCAATATTGGGAATAGCATTATACTGTACAAATACAAATCATCATGATCACCACTAACCTCCTCCAGATGTGCCCACTGTGCACGGATGTCTTGAATCCTCTCTGTGACCTCTGGGGCTCCAAAGTGTCCCTCCTGAACCAAAGCTTCTCCAGCAGCGATGCTATTACTCAGGGGGCCGTAACGGGCTGCCATCTCATCCCTGAAGGCCTCATGTTTGCTGAGCAGGTGAAGGGCAGAAGTGAGGTCACGACCACAGTCTCCACTGGCAAGGATCTGCTCCTGCTCTCTGATCCAGGCTGCTTCCTCTCCCAGATCCCATAGAAATTGCCACAGGCGGCGCGAGTCCTCGAGGCGTACTCTGCGTTTCCCAGCAAGCTGACCAAGCTCCTCATAGGCCTGACCCAGCAGGTCAACCTTCTCACTAACTAGTCCCGGCTCACATGGTTTGTAGGCTGGCAATTAGAAAGGCAGGAATACATGGGCACTTAAATGTTGTGCACAAATAGGTGAGATTAAAGCTGCATGATCTGTACAAAGATTACATAAACATATTTGAAGACTCACCCTGTTCATAGGAGGTGAAGCGCTGTGCAGCTCCCTGCACTGCCTTGATCCTCTCTGCCTGAGCTGAAATGTCAGCCTCTACCAGAGTATGTTTCTGCAGTAGGTCCAACACGTCATGCAAATGTTTGCCACTGTCAGGAGACTGTAGACGACCCTGAAACAGAACAGTCCAGTAGAATATTTGGTTTGCAACAGCAAATACACAAGGTAGGAATCTGGGTTGGGTAGTGTGTCCACAAACAGGATATGTGAAGAGTGGACAACATTTTTAAACAAAACAGATATTTATACATTTTAAATCATGACATTTTATGAGCTATGCCTTGCACTTGGTGATATTTTAAATGACCAATGGCGTACAACACAATTTCAGCAAGCTGTTAGCTTCAGACCATTAACCTGAACAAACGGGGAGCAAGAGCCTTACTCAAGCCGAAGAAGAGTAAATTCCTCTAATCTGAGCCATTAGACCAGAAGACTATTAAATGAAAACAGGACATTGTGCGACAAACACTATTAAAAAACAGATAATAAACTGTATACAGCATCCTAATTATATGGTAATGGCTGACTGAATCGCCAAAACATTAACAGCGTGTTTCCAGTTACCACCAAAAATTACAGAAGACATGGATTAATGTCCTAATCAACTCCACTCCAGACAAACAAACACAGACATGTACATCTCCATCCCAGCTGTCCCTCATGAACTTAAACACCTGTTCATATTCTCCCAACTGAGAAATGTAATGTGCCAGACTTGTGTAAAGGTAGTGGGTGGCTGATGAGGCCAAGCCGTCAGAGTAGCAGAGCGAGGCATACATGTTACTTTTTAAACAGACATAATATTAATACAGTGTTCGTGCGTTAAAAGGAATGATTGACACCAAAATAAAGACCCGGATTTATCCATGTAAGGAGAAAAGACTTGCAGTGACTAAAGTTACCTCAGCCAACCTCAGGAAAGACAGCAATGACAGGCAACACAGCTCAGGCTAGGCCAGTAAAAAGCTTATTACTGCTGTTAATGGTCCTCTGATAAGCACAGGCACTAAAACTGCCGAGGACATATGTGAACTAACTTAATTGAGAGGATTAGGAAATTCCTTTTTGTTGATTAAAAACAAAGAATGTAGGAACAGAAAGCAGCAGTTCAGAACAAGTTAAAACAAAGTGAGCACAGTTAAAACAGTGTAAAGTCCCGCACACACCAAGAAGAGTATCTGTAACAAAATAGTTTTAAATATCATTTTGACTAAAGTGGACGGAGGAGTCTACACAACAACTTTAACAATGACAGTGGCATATGATATCACTGGGATCACTTTCAGAGTGATTTGATGAACAATAGACACACTGACAGCCAAACAAAATACATCCAAATTAACAGGGCGTCACAGCTGGATTGGCAATGTATGCTTGGTGCCACTGTTTACAGAACATCATCATTTCATGACTGTTTTAGTTATCCTTACAGTTATCGTTCTTGATGTGGACGGGCCTTAAGCATGCGTTGTGATGAGTGGTTCAATACCTTCATGTCTGCCATCCAGTCCATGATGTAGCGCATCTCCTCAAACAGCCTCTGCAGGTCACGATGGGCATTCAGCCGCTCCCTGCGTGCAGCTAGAAGCTCTTTCAGGTATTCCCAGAGTCGAAGCACATTATCCCTTCGTGCAAGTATACGTCGCACGTCGTGGTACGACTCTGTCTCCAGCTCTTTGGCAACAGCCTCCACAGCAGCCACACGCTCCCAGTACGCCCCAATGTCTGTCTCAATTGCTTCATGTTTGCGGGTTGCAGCTTCCACCGCTCCCAAGTCGGTTCCAAAGTTGTCCTAATAACAGAGGAAATCAGAGTAAAACTATTCAGTGCAATCAAGTCAGAAATAAGAATGAATCTGTAGCCACGCATGTGCCTGTTGTTGATTTATTAAATTTTATTTTCCTACCTGAGACACCAGCCTCTGGTTCTCACTCAGCCACGTCTCCCGCATAGCTGCTTTGCGGTCAAAACGGGCAGCGAGCATCTCCAGCTTCTCCTGGCGAATCAACTCGTTTCTTAGTGCCAGCTCTCGCTCGTGCTCTGCCTTTTCCAGTCGCTCCCATGCCTGCCACATGAAAACACAGGAGGTCGGTGACATCCTGCAACTAGGATACCAATACTGCATGCATGATGAGGCCACTTTTGTGAAACTTCATTAACTTGCATAGTAGATAATTCTGTGGTCTGTGGACAATTTCCCAAAGAGCATGTGACAGGCTGCTTATTTTAAATATTGATTAAACACGTCTTTCACGTTTCTAGATTAACAAAAACATTGCTGGTTCTGTCTTGAGCAGCCCATACCTTATTGATGTCAGAGATGAGCTTGCCCTCTCTTGGCATGTAGACTTTCTGATTGTTTGCTCTCATCTTGCTCTGAATCGTAAAGAGGAGAACCTCCAAATTTCCTTTCTCTGTAAACCTGTGGAGACAGACACCACCGCTGGTTAACATACTGCACGGCATCACACTTTGGATCCTGATGGATAACAGGCATTGGGTCATTCAGTGGGTTATAATAACTCAGCTCTCTGTTACTCACTTGGGGGGTTTCTCCACAGTGCGGTAGGAGTTAAAAGCCTGGAGCTGATTCTGTACGGCACTCAGTGAGTTAGCTAGCTGCCGATCATTGAGCGTCCCTATGGTCTGCTCAATCCACTGCAGCAGCTCTGAGGCAAGGGTCTCATACTTCTCAATCAGCTGGTCGGCCTCAATAGCATAGTCCAGTACCTACAACCAAGAAGGATATGTGAATCAAGCCAACTGATGGAAAAACACGTAATGTACATGCACTCACTGGTTTACTCACACATGAATGTACAGAGACTAAAACACACATCTAACCTTGCCAATTCGTTTGCCCTCCACTGCCAGAGCCTTCATCTTGGAGAAGTAATGGTAGTAGGTCGCCACATAGGTGATGATGGACTTTTCATCAGGTTGATCAACATTAACATCTGGGGAAAAAAAGACACCATGATCCATCTTCATATGAACACTTCACCCTTTATTTAATCTACTGACCGTAAACTTCATCATGCACAAGCAAGACTGTTAATTGTGGCTGTTAAAGCAGCCTTAATGAGTTTAATGGGTGTCAAATTGTTACTATCTTTGGACATGCTTTTTGTGGTGTCAGTGTAGCTGACATGTGATGTGGTGTTGTCTCAGCTATAATTAATTCCAGTAATCCTCCGTAGTCTCACAGCAATCAGTCTGTTTCAGACAACAGGCACCAGTTTAGTGCCTTAGAGGACAGTGTCAGCTACGTTTTAGTGGAGGCTTTACCAAGCAGCAGCCTCCAGTGCTGAAAAATTAAACCAATGCGAAATGCCAAAAACTTCAGTTCCGTGAATGGCCACTTGAGGCGGGCTCCAGAAGCAAATCAATCACCAAAGAGTCCCATGTTAAAATGCCCAACTTTACAGCAGAAATAAACATGTTTACAGCCTGATACAAACAATAGTTTTGGTCTCTAAGGCTATGGTCCCATTCAACTGCACATTGGGTGACTTTTTATATATCGTACCCATTTACGTTTTATTAGGACTTAAAGTGATGCATAATTAAGGCTGGTCACTTTGTGTGACAGGCTGTCTGCAAAGCATCACCACAGTCTGAGATTCAGACACACCCCTCACTCCACCCTCTCATCCAAATATGGCCACTTTTGGCTCCAAAAAACAAGATGGTGACGACCAAAATGCCAAACTCGAGGCTTCAAAATGGGAGTCCACAAACCAATGGGTGACGTCACAGGAGCTATGTCCATTATTTTATACAGCCTATGGGCTTTATCCACTCACCTTCTGGGTCCAGCAGCTTGGTAAGCCCCAGTTCCTTCTCAGCCACATTGAAAGCATTCTGGAGATTGTAGTGAGCATTGGACCTCTTCAGGTTGTCAAAGTCAATCACATCAGGTCTGCAAAGCCAGGAACAATTATGGTTTTAATAAGTACAGATTGCAGAGCAGGGTGCAAGCCAATTACAGTATCATTCAGGGTGACATATAGACAAATAGAATCACCTTCTTGTTAGGTATAGAGAGAAAAACATTTTGCAATCCACTTCACTGAAAGTCTATATATACAGACCAGGGTGCAATAAACACTCCACTTTAAGGTATGGATTAGGCAAACTGCTCCTGCCTATTATTGCTATTCTTGCCTGAACCATGTTTTAATTTTTAGCTTACTTAGGCATTACGAGGGGGTAAAATTGGTTTGGGGGACAATATATCAACCATTATGCCAAAATATCAGAATGAGGACAAAAACAGCTATTTTCTCATTGAGGTTCAATGGCCCACAGAGTGTTCTTAATCATGCAGGTACTTTAACAGTGGAAATGAAAAACAACTCTTTGCATATTGTAATTTGCTGTAGTGTGTTTTCTGCAGCTTGAAAAGGGGCCTGATCATGTAAATGGCAGCGTCATGGTTTACATGAATATCCCATGGTTCAGTAACTCTAATGAAAGCAGTGTTTGCATTCGTGTATCAACTATCACCTTAGGCACTCGTAATGAACAGCAGGGTGTGCAAGTGAGTTATCAAGCATGGCTTCTCATGGAAAATAAGTGGGTTATTATTTCTGTGATCTAGGTCATCTTGCTCCCTATTTTATTTTCATCCTTTTCACCATACTGCAGACAGTCTGAAGGATGGGAGGAGTAGGAGGAGACCTAAATAGAAAAGGGGATAAAAACACCCCTGAGAAGTGTGATGGTACTGCGACAGGTGCTCCTCATTAGGCGAAGAAAGATAAAGGAGGGGCTGAAGATACTGGACACCTTTTTGATTTGCAGGATAATTTTATGAAACCCACACTCTGAAGAAAAGACCTGTTATAATCAAATACACAGACCAGTTTTATAGTAGAACATTACATCAAGTACAGGAAAAAGTCAATGACCTGTGTTTGTGCACGATGGCATTGAACGCCAGACCATCTCTCCAGCTGGTGGTGAAGTTGTGGATGTTGACATTGGGGTATCTGCAGAGGCCAGATCAGAAGTCATTAATCATTAACTCAACACAGCGAGATTCATCAGTAACCATGTCCCTAAAACCACAAATGTTCAAATATATCTTCACAGTGTTTATTCTGTGGGATTAAGCCGTCCCTCAGTCTCTCCTCTCCCACTCATTTCTCACCCAGCAGTTTTCATTTGGCACCAAAGCAGCAGAGCATCTTTAGCTGATTTTTTCTCCTTGTTGTCCTCCGTCTCCACACTGATGTCCTGGATCTGTCAGCAGAGCGTTCATTCAGTTAAAACTCTGCTCACACCATTTTTGCACAATTCCTAGAACTTGCAATATTATTTGCAATATTATTACTGTAATGAAGAACTACCTTGTAAATCACATCACAGCAGCATTCACCTCTATTACCATTTATGTGAGTTTGCCTGAGGACTGGCTAGGCTACATGCAGAGACCTGATGTCCCAAAGACAAACTCCCTCTTTAGAAGAGGTTAAGCAGCGTGGCTGCTGTGCTTCAAGGCAAATGGGCAGAGCTCTAGGAAGCTACTCTGTATGTTACCTGGAAGCGAAGGATGATGGTCCAAATGAGACCCAAGGTGAGACGGTGATTCCCATCCACAATGTCATGTGAGCCCATGTTTTCTAGATGGACTTTTTGCTCCTTAAGGAACTGCAGGGCTTTATCAACATTCTCCAGGCAGTGGATACGCATGCGGCCCTTGGTGGGCTTTGGCTGTGGGGAGCAGGAGAAAAAGAAAGTTGGCTATGTTGAAATTATTAAACAAAAGTTATCACAACATACATGAGGAGGAAAGGAGTGCAGGCATGTAGAAAGAGTGAAACAAGTAAAAGTAGATCACACTAAAAGAAAGGAGAAATGGTGCGCATGATTTCAAGGAATGGAGCACATGATTTCTCCTTCCTCTTGACTTGTGTTGTAGTGTGGGGGTCATGCTGAGGGCCTGGGTCAGGGTTAGGACAGGTTTCTGTGTGATACTGACCAGCTGTTCTCCTGAGAGCACTTCCAGAAGGCGGATGAGCATGCGGCCATCGCGCAGGTCAGTGTACAAGTCACCAATGCGACAGGTCACTCGGCCTAAGTGAGAGTTTACCCATTTGGTGAAGGTCTTCTTCTGTACTGCTTCACGCTCATCTGCAAAGGAAACAACAGGGAGAGAGAGGTTGAAGTCACATCACACTGAAATTATAACCTTCTCCACTGACTGACATCAATATCATTACTGTCAGGGAAATACATATTTACAAGGAATCAATTTTGCTCTTAACAAACACCAACTTAGTCAACAACTTTGATCCTGAGAGCAGACAGGTGACAGTAAATCATAAGGACTTAAGCCCTTGTCCTGAGCAGTTCATTTCACAGATAAGCTATGCCATTAAGTCTCGAGGATCCCTGTATTGACAGCTTAGTGAGAGGTTTTCACTCCTCAGACCAAAGTTTACTGATGGCTCTGCTCACATGTGCATTGCTAATTCCTCGTATGTTGTGAGTTTAGAAGAGAAAAGTGACAATGCAGAATTGCAAATAAAGGCAAGGACATTTGTGATTTCTTTATTGGAGCAGGAGTAAAAAGAATCACAATAAATTAAGCTGTAACAGCAGCTCAGACATATGGACCAGGGGAGTAAGAAGCTAATCCTGCTCTGCCACCTAACAAGGTGACCTCATTTCTAGGACACAAGGTCTTCCTGCCTTTTGAAAACACTATTCTAGCATTGTACTTAATGCACTGCACCTAACACAAGCCCGCACAGAAAAACCCTGGAGCAGACAGAAAATAGATCAGAGGAGCAGCACTGTAATAATGAGTTAAACAAAACAAAGCCAACTTGCATCAGCATGAAATGAAATATAATGGTGGTGAAGATGGATGCCTCTCTTTGAAACAATAAAAAATAGCAAAGACTTGATAGTTTAACAAACCAAACCATAAAAAAACCACACTCTGAGAAAAGCTCTTAGTTGCACATAGCTTCATATGATAAAATCATCTTTGATGGTGTAAGACACCACACCTTCTTTCAACAACACACTTCAAAGAAGCGTGGTGTAACGACATAAACCCAAACGCTACATCTAATTTGCTTCTTATGTTGCATCAAAACAACAAAGGTAGATATGTAATTAACGTGACAGGTACCTGGACAAGATTCATTACTTTAAATATACACTCTCCTGTGTTGCCCTTGATCCTTCTCCTCACTCAATTCAACCAAATGTTCACTTCTTAGCATTATTATTATGTAACTATGTTGCTACTACTAATATTAGCCCACCAACAAGTATCTAAATGCTGCCAAATGTCCTGTTCTACTTTAGCAAAAGCCAAGACAACAGGATTTCTTTGACAGTATGTGATTACAGAATGCACCATTACAAACTGTATTTCTAAAAGACATACATGCTGATTTTTCTAAACATAAAAAAACCTAGTCATTCAGAAGGGGAGGCTTGCAACTTCAAGTTACTGTAACATTTAAATGCAACACTACTCAAAGGTGAGACCTTCAACCTAAAGGCAAGGTCCAGATATCCAGGCAGTTCTTGTATCAGTGGCAGATTGTGAAGGTTGAAATAGTGTATAGACATACTGAAAGATATCAATGACATTAAATCACAATATCAGTACATTACTGATGGTTCTTGTGGAATTTAATAAATAAAAATATTTTGTTCACTGAAAGTGACTCAAATTGGTGATCATAAACTATCAGAAAGCTACTCAAGGCTCAGGAAGCAATACTGAATCATCACAGTGTTTAGTCTTTAATTGATAAATGAATACTAAGCCACGCCAAGTGCTGTGAGGGGACCAAAGACAGCACGTTGTGCAAATATCCACTCTACTAACTGTCAGCAAAAAAAAGAACAGATTTTGAAATTTCACACAAGCCTTCTAGGGTGGAGTAACACGACAGGACATAACACTTGACCTGTTGCGAGCTCGAGGTGCTTCCCCTGTATCTGCTCTACTAGAGAGGTCCTCCTTTGAAATAAGTAACACAAACAGCTTCCTGTAATGTTACGCTTTAACAGCAAATCTAAAGCAATGTGCTGTTAATTTTCTGAAACAAACACTAAAATCTTTCACAGTAATTTTATTAACATGATTAAACTACTCAGTCCCCTACAGCTGTGACCTCTGTGTTTCACCTCACTGTAATCCGAGTATTAAAGGTACCCTGTGGACATTTTGACTTCTAGTGGCCATATACAGTGATATTTTAATGAGCAGGTTTCCTTATTGTTTGTTAATGCTCCAACAACATACTCACAAGAACGCATATGTATGCACCAGGGTGGTGTAATACCACCGTGCTGCAGAACGCCACACCTATCATGTCTCATATTTCCTCGTTGAGACTCACATTTCAGTGCATTTTGTGGCCATCTCACAGCCTTGACATGAAAATCTCAAACCTTAAAAAAAACATCGCTACAACACGTTTGTTGTAATCCAAGCTCAGTGATAAAATGCCAAAGCACTTTGGATCGCCCTTCCTTGCTTCACTCGCTGTTCTCCTAATAGCAGCGCCTGCCAAAATGCACTCACCAGCAATAGAAGAAATTATAGCAGAATATATTCCATTATTCAGTATTAAGTTTGGCTGTCCATGCTCTGCACCGGAGCTGAGAGCAGCAGAACAACACATGAAAGTTGTAGGAGAGAGCTGGTTCTTATAATGTCCGCATCTAGACTGCAGAAGAAGCATGAGAATTGTGTTCAAAAAGTAAAGTATCATTAACTGATTATGTCTCACCCTGTCCTACCTCTCTTATTTCCTGCTTGAGGGCTTGGTAACAATTGGGAAGGGCGCATGCATCACAGACAAAGAGTTCAATAGCAGATAAACCCATATGACAAACACACAGCAGCACAATGAGATGGATCTGTTGGTTACCGTCTGACTACGGTAACTATGCAGACAAATGCCAAGAGATTAGGCTACAGTTAATAGTTAAAAAAGTACACACATGAGTCAACAGGTTTTGTGAAAAAGGCCCCGACAATAAGTTGTCTTGAGTTTTCAAATCTCCAGATTCCACACAGATATGTTTCTTTTATATAAATGTACCATTTAAAGACTATGACATATTAATTCAAAGCAGGTGACTATAATCTTGGCCTTTGGGCACATTTGGAGGGCTGGAGCTGTGGCAGAGGCACATTTTTCTCTGCTATCCCGGCTATCAGCCCTCTTGTTTCCTGGATGTGTACTCAAACAGCTACTATCGGTCAAACAGCCCTACTCTACAGTAGTATAGCCCTGCTTGGTCCTCTACATACTGTTAAAGGCTGTGCTGGTTGATTTGGGCTCTTATTTGACTGCTTTGTTTTCCTTCCTACCTCCCTCATGCACCACACTAACAGATTATTCCATTATTAAAGCACCACTAAGCGATTTGAAGCTGTTTAATGAGCCAGCAGAGGTGGATTACTGTGGCAGGTGAGACACAGCGGAGGAGCCTACATTCCTCCTGATGCCTGGTCGTGTTGTGACAGCACCCAGCGCTGAAGAGGAGGCACTGAGGCAGTGGGCAGGGGTCCTAAAAGAAGACGTGCTGCAACCCAGCTCATGGTGCGCTGCTAATAACAAGGCTACTGAATGAGAGCACGAGACAGACAAACACTGTCATCACTCTGTGATGTTGTTTGCTCATAATGGCAAACAAACACAAACTTGTCATCGGCTGCAGCTGCGGTGGATAAGGACAAAACTTGCACATCCGTTTTCTCTAACAATGTGACATCTGTGGATTGTGTTGTAGTACATAGGAGGATATGTCAACCGTAATGTTTGTACATCCATGGCTAAATGGTTTATTAGTTTTACAAACCTGTACGAATGCTCGGTATCTGCCACAAAGAGCTTGCTTATTTTTAACAGAGAGAATGGCTGATGGTGAGAAAAGAAACTGAGACTCCTGTACTCCTGTGTCTCCTGTATGTTGTCAGATGTCTCGAGTCTAACGTCATGCAAAATACCTGCAGAACCTGCCAACATTGTTACATGATTACACAATAGAGGGCAAGAGTCGGAAAATATGAACTTTAGAAAGCAAGCCTAGTAGCTACTATTAAGTCTTACTAAATCTTGTATAATCTTTTTTCGCAAAAAAATCCAGCAATAATGACCTTGAGAGACGGTTATTTCAAAGTAATAGTTCTCTGACACTACAGATGCAATGTGCCAAAGTCAGGAATTGCCTTATATACCTTTGTTAACATGCCAGTAATCCAATGCAAAATAGATATTGGCTACTTTGAATATTTTATGAATCCATGCAAGTATACACTCAAATGTGGACTCAATCAGCTACTTTATTTTTTTCTACAATAAAAAACGACTCAACCAAAAAAAAAATGACTTTACCAATAACTTACTTTACAGTATATGTTCTTCAAGTACTCTGGGACTAAAATGATATATATTTTTATTTAAATCTCATAATGAGTTAGTGAATGAGACCTCTCCTGACTATCTTGGACCATCTTGGAGCTCCACTTGACTTCTTGAGCCTGTTTCAGTGTGTAGAATTTTCTGTGGCATGTTTTTTCTCCATTGTTTACTAGTGGCACATCAGAACTAGTGGTTAGAGGCATCATTGAATGTTTCAAAGCATATTTGGGCATGTCCAGTCACTTTGAACATGTTTGTCTCTGGTAGTCAGCTTTAAGTATATGTCAGGGTGAGGGGGAGTAGAGAGGGGGGCCTGGCTCAGACACTGCCATTTCTTCTGTTGAAGGTACTGGGATTTAGATTGCTGCTGATTTCCTATTTAACCCCCAAACAAACTTTGGCACAGTTGATAACAATGATTATCTGCAGGTAATCTGAGCAAATATGCCGCCAGACTTAATCCTGTCTGTGAGACTCACAGTGGTTATGATCATATTTGGTGATAAAATGGAGACAGATGCAACAAGGAACAAGGAATCGGTGGGCCATGGCTTTCACAGATCTATGATGGAAAACAATACGACATCTGTGTATCAGAACAGCAAAGGTGCAGTGGGTTTCATTTTCAGCTGAACTGTTGTATTGAGGTCATGGTTTAATATCTGGTGTTTAGCAGGTCATTTATGGTAACCTGGGCATGTGCTGTAGCATTGAAGTGTTAACTGATCA